TCCAAGCTTAACCCGTATTCTTAGAAACGAGAATGCTAGGGTTCTCGTGAGCGAATTGTGCCTGCGGTAGCTTAAACCTCAATTTTAGGGAGAGGAAACACAACCCGAGTTTTCTGAGAATAAACAGGGACTCACTTGGACACGAGTTGGAAAGCCTCCTGTAAACGCTTGAAAGATATAAAAGCGTGTTGTTCGCTGAAAAGTGTTTATTTTTTGTTTTTTAGTAATTTCTAAACAGGTAATCTAGTTCAGCTGAGATATTGTGCATTAATATTTCGTATAACGTCTTGGTTCTGACACGTTTGGTGATCAAGAAAGAAGATCAAGTGGGTAATGCGGTCGGGCGCAAGACGCAAGTACCGCATCTTGGTCTAACAGCAGCCAGTCCGCATCTTGGTCTCAAGGCAGGAAGTCTGCTTTATTAGGTAAACCAACTCCCATTTAGGCAATATGCAGCCAACATTGAAAAACTATATCTTCAGGAGAGTCGGGTTCTGAAGCTCGCCGATGCCGCAATTAGCGGCAAAGCTCGCGATTAATTCGAATGGTGTGCGTGCCTCCATCGCCCAAGTACATTCGTCGCATGTTCATGGGATTTAGTTCTGTCCCGCGGTTGGAGAGTGCAAGACTCGTTTGCCTCGAACGCCCGTTTACATACTTTAATACTTTATAGATTCGTTCTCTTAAAACTATTAACCCAAAATGATGCGTAGATAGTACTGAATCTGTTTTATTTTGATTTTAATTTTGATGGGGCCCAAAAGTTTTCCCCTCAAACACGCAGTATGTAGTGCGTCTTTCCCGTGTTTCTTTGGAGTAACGCAAAAGTAATCGAGTAAAGTAACGAAGTTATTAATCGATTATTTTTACGGCGATTGGTTTGTAACGGTAATCCATTACGTTTTAGAACAAGTAATTGTAACTGTAATTAATTACTTTTTTGAAGTAACGGGCTCAAGTCTGCTGCCACCAGCATCTATAGAATAATGAAGGCCTCCGAACGCCCCACTCTTCCTCCACGGAACGTCATCATAGCCGCGGATGGCGCCAACTCAGCAATGATATCCGAGCCCGACGATGAGCGTCCTTCGACGCGTTATTGGACACGAAGACCAGCCGAGCACTGACGGAGCACTCGTATCCAATCTGCGTCTTCCCTCGACCGTGCACTCTGATGACGTCAATATTCTAGTCCACGGGCCTTGATCATTTTCGGTGGTGTTTGTCGTGCGCGTGCGCAGAGACAGACTTTGTGAGATGTGACGCCTGTGCTCCGTGATCCGTGCCGTAATCAGCGCCATCGACGCGGACTGATGTCGGAACACCGCGTTGGTCTCTATAACGTTAGCACTGCGGGGACAGCATACGTTTTAACAAAGTCAGTTAATTTCATCTGCTCATTCATTTCGCATGCATTTATATGTCATGGGCCGATGACGGATATAAACATGACAGAAAAAAAACAACTTTTTTTTCTTTACAGACGTGAAGTTTCGTGCTACTAGTTACTACTTAAGCAGTCAAAGCATGAGATATGTATTATTTACCTATAATAGAATATACAGGGTGTTTCACGAAAGGTGGACAAATTCGATATTGCAAAAACTACGCATCGCACCAAACAAAGGCTTGTGTCGTTTTGGTCCTAGGCCTGTAGCCTACTTAGGAAACTTATTAAAGTTCGGGAGAATCAAGCTGTTAATTATTTTCGCGTAATTAATTTTTTTTAATATTGAGTTTAAGGGCTTGGTTTTATTTTAAAACTTGCTAAGCATCATCAAAGAACACTAAATAATAATAAAAAAACTGGAGCGCGATGGAAGGCACGCGCTGCATTTTGCTGCAGTTTGAAATACCGCACAATTTCGACAGGTTTTCAAGTTTCGGTTTGCAATCGGAGCGCTTCTCAGCACCGACGGCACCGCGCCCCCGTGGAGAAATAGTGCAACCTGCCTCTGCTGCGTTGCGAGAGGACATCGCAGCAGAGATTGGTTGCACTATTTATCCACGGGTCGCGGTACCGTCGATGGCGAGAAACGCTCCAATTGTAAACCAAAACTCAAAAACCCGTCCAAGTTGTGCGGTTTTTCAGAAAGCTGTAAAATGCAGCACGTGCTTTCCATCTCACTTAATTTTTGTATTTAGTGCTTTTTGGAGGAAGCTCAGCAAGTTTCCAAAGGAAACTATGCATGCCCTTAAACTCATTATTAAAAAAAAAATTAATCACGCGAAAATAATTAGCACCTTAATTACCCGAACCTTAATAATTTTCCTTAAAAGCCCCTTTTCTATAGAACCTAAACGACACAATCTTTTTTTTTTTTTTTTTTTTTGTGCGCTGCGTAGTTTTTGCAATATCGAATTTATCCACCTTTCGTGAAACACCCTGTATATTGAACTCGGACGTGAAACAGTAGGCTTAAAAATATGAAGAAAAATGGGGCCCGGGGGAAGGCTGCTTCACTGATCCCTCAGCTCCTTTACTTCAGGGGAACACAGACCCAATAAGCACAATTCTCCATCAGGAAGCTACGCAGCTAACGCACTACAGTTTTTAGACATGTTTATTCGCATTATTTGAGTAGGGGACGCCAGTGAGGCACTGATATTTCTATAAAATAAAGTATATCTCATATAATAATCAGCAAAGAAATTAGACGTTTACTAACGAGTTCGTCGATCAGCCGGTTAGCTAATCGAGTAATTTCACGGGAGTCTAAATGTCAAACGTAAGTCGTTCCTCAATCCTATATAGTGTCGTGAATCTTACTGTTTTTCATTGTTCTGTTCTCTTTTCACGTAGTTTATTGGTTGTCTGCCGCATTTACGTTCCCTGAAATGGTAAAACCTGAGGCAGCGGGCGTAGAAGAGAACTACAAAACGCACCGATACGTTTTAGTGATCTTTCTATGCGCCGAGAAAGCGAGGGAAAGGAGGAGACGAGAGTGGACCCGCCTCGCTGCTACCCGCCTCCAAGAACGGTACAGTGCGCTGGTTCAACAATTATTTACTAAATGTTATCACCGCGCACGGCGACCCAATATACCCCCCCTCTTTCCCCCTAAGCGCATAAACCGCGCCGGCCTTTTATCAGCGACGGAGCGCTGCGCCTGGCCACTTGCAGTTGGCCACCTTGCGGTTTAAATAGCCAGAGTCGATCTGACATGCGGGCAACCTGTTCAAACGCTTTGGATCCCCAGGTTGTCCACGAGTTATGACGTTCAAAAAACGTGCTAGGAAGCCACCACGTTTGCCCACGGATATAAAATACGGCCCTAAATGTCGGTGACATTGACCTAGAATATACACTCAAAAGTGAGTAAGTGTTTTGAATAAGACGAACACGTAACTTTTGACTGCAATAAAAAAAAATGAATGGTGAGCACTGGAAAGGAAAACGTATGCTAAATGGCGTGAATTAAACGGACATGCGACCTCATGTGTAAAACTTGCAGCGATCATTCTTATGGGGCAGGTGATGTAAGCATACATATTTTTTTCTCTTTTTTTAATTTTAGTTTTGGAATGACAGACATTGTTGGTTCTATACATAGTGGACAAGGTGTTTACGGCTGGGGTCAGAAAAAAAAGGGGGGGGGGGGGGGGGCTCTTTTGAGCTGAGCCGTGGACTTTATTTCAGAACGTGGCAGCTGAGTTCGATATGTCTTTTTTTATTTTGTTCGTGTTCTTTTGTTGCCCTGTCTAATTCGAAAAGTTTGGCGTAGCGACTTAATCATCCCTGCCAGGAGATTCGAAAGCCACACGAAATGTACTTTTGCCCACTTTAACGAATAGAGCCTAACAAAAGAAAACGGCAAGGGGGATCGGTAATTCGGTATAGCGTGGAGTGAATTCAATATAGCGTGGCATACATAACCCAAGAATGAAGCTTAGATTAGGATACGGTATTTCGCTTTTCAGGTCACTGTAGTGGCCACTACAAGAGGTTGGGTCTTGTTTGCACCTTCTTGTTAGGACGTTTTGCTTACTTGAGCCTTGTGCATCGTGGGAAATGTGTGGCGCGAATTACTTTTTGAATGAGCGGCATTTCGCAAAATCGTGAAACGGGAAGGAATAGCTGCATATGAAACGAGATCTACAATTATGTTGGTGTATTTTTTTTCCTATATTTGGTTAGGTCTAAAGATGGTAAATGTATATGGACAACATATTTTCCAACCTTAAGCATGGCGGAAAAACCTTTTTGAATCTCAATTGCGAATACAATCTGTTTAATTTCGCTTTATTCTGAATAGAAATTGTTCTAGCACAATTTAATCTCAAAGGACATCGAATGCCGACAGAAATTAATCGCAGGATAATTCACGAAAACTTCAAGAGTAACGCCAACTTTTTGTACCATGCAAAGGAGTTTTCGGAAGGAGGGAAGTGTTTTGTTGTGCTCTTTTTTCCCCAATGTGGCAGGGATCGAGAAGTGAGCTTCCTTAGAAACGTCACTAAAAAAAAAGAAAATAATAATAATAATTTTTATTTTACGGACAATGTTGCTAGCGAGATGTTGCTCATGTCTGCGAACTACAAAAGTCAGCATCGAACAAATGTGTCACGAGGTCTGAAAAAAAACGCGTTATCAATGACTTCTAGTCCGGCAATAATGCTAGATCGAAACGGTAGCGTTTACAAATACGAAGCTTGGCTCCTTTCCTTCCCTCTAAAAATGAATGGAATGAAATAAAAAATTTAAGCATAAACTCAAACTAAAAGAGAAACGATTTTTTTTTTAACACATTTTTCGTATTTTTTGCTGTTTAGGGCAGTCTAGTGAGGAAAGGCACATTCCCGCCGTCGTCCCTTGAGCTGCAGTCTGCGAGGGACAAACAGCCGAGAGCCGTCCTTGCGGCCAGGGGTAGGCGTGGTCCCCGTCGGGGTGCCGTTGGCGGAGCCTAACGATAGCCCCGAGCACCGCGAGCGCTTTACAAGGAACATTGGGACCGACGCCAAAAGTCGCTGCTTGGCGCCCGCGACAGCAGAGACGGGGAGGGAGTGGGGGGGAGTGCGTCATGTCGTTCCAATCCTACGAAAACGTGACTCTTTTTCTTCTCGCACCGGACACGTCCAGCAGAGCGTGTAGAAGGGGGCATTAGTCGTCACAACGAAAAACAAGCTGTCGTTGACGTTTCCGGCCCGTCTCCAAGTTGGCGCGAACCATCATTAGCGCCGCGTCGCCGCCAACGTGGCAGCGGTGGCGGTCGCCTCGGACGACGCCTAATCAAAGAGCCACGCGCTGCGCGGGGCCAGCGCCGCTTGCACGCGACACCGGCCGAAGCTGGGGCCGGCAATCTGACCGGACCCTGTCGTTGGGCCAAAGCCGCCGAACCCCCCTTGGCCCTCTCGGGTGGGGGGCGACCCTGCCTAAGCACCCTGGCGAGCACGTCGGCGCCGAGCGGTAACTCGAAAGCTCCCGCCGCGGCAAAAGGACCGCCCCCGGGCCTCGGGGGTCGCGGGGCCCCTCTCGGGCCGGCCGCCGCGTCCCTCCTCCTGCGCGCTCCGATTGGCGCTCCGACCGGAGCGGGCGGAGCAGCCGGCGCGTGTCGGCGGCGGGCTCTTCCCCGGAGAGCCGAGTGAACGGGCGCGTGATGCACTGGCCGCGGGGCAGACGGCGCGATTGAGCGGCGCGATCCAGCGGCGCCATTGAGCCGGTCGAGCAGCGGGAGCCAGCGTGGCGAGCATGGCCGACGGCGCGTGCAGCCCGGTCGGGCCCGACGAGCCCGAGTCGGCGGCGCCGGGCTCTCCCATGGACGAAGACGACGAGCCCCAGCGGTCCCCGACGCGACTCTCCAAGGCCGACGACGAGGAGCTGCTGGACGTGGTGAGCACGGCGTCGCTGGACGGCGCCGACCAGGACTTCTCCGAGGACGAAGAGTACTTCAAGCCCATCAAGCGGCTCTGCATGATGGAGGCTCCGGCCAACCCGTCGCCCCCCAAGCCGCCCACCTCCTTCTTTATCAAAGACATCCTGAGCCACAAGCCCGCGCGCAGGGCGTCGGGCATCGTGCGACCCTGGGACCTCGAGTCGCCCAACCCGGGCCGGCGAAGACCGCGCTCCACGGACGAGGACTCGAGGTCCGAGCGGTCCGAGAGCGACTCGCCCGACAGCCCCGCCGCCGGACAGCAGCAGCACAGCTCCACGTCGCCCCTGGATGCGCTCTTCGAGATGACCAGCAAGGCCTTCGAGGGACTCGAGTCCGGGGACCGCGCTGCCGGTGAGCACCCGCTGGGACGAGGCTGCAGCTTCGGCCGCAGCCTCGTTCCCGCCACCCGCTGTCCTCCTATACGCCATCAGACATGGGATGGCCGCTTGCAAGCCTGCACTTTTGCTGTCCCCGTGAAATGATCGACGTGCTCCAACGTCCATGGATGCCACCTATTCATTGGTTCGCTCTCATTGTTCAGCCAATGAATGTGTCGCATGCCAGTTCCATAGCCAGCACTTGTAAACGTTCCGTCAGAGTAAAAGCGTCGAACACGTGGTCCACGTGCTTGGGGTGTTGAACCCTCGACTTGCAACCGGCCACCTCCACAATTTGGAAACGCGAAGAGGACAGGAGTTGGTCCCTGCAGACGCAGCACGTGCTGCTCCTGTCCGCTTCACTGACACAAACCGTTAAGAACATCTTGGCTCAAGCTGTTGTCATAGGACGACACCGCTTCACCATTTCGTTGTTGCTGCGAGTGTACGGTTATTCATTGCCCTCTTAGAACCACGTGTTTGCTTGCGTGGAAGGATATCGTCAAATCAGAACGTCAACAACGATACGATGAATCAGATTCCGTTTGTGACCACATCCCGCACACCATCCAACCGGAAGGGTCACCAGACGCACTTGTCTGTTTACATACAACCGCAACGTTTCAACAGTCAACAGGTCTGCGAGCACTCGTTCGCGCTTCCTCTCCTCCTTGTGTGTGACCATGAACGACGCAACGTATACAGGCACGACGTGACGAAGTTCACGTGAGAAATGCAGGCATCATGCAATATGAGTCGGATGACATGCGTGGACTCAAGATGACACGCTTTCTCCCTTCGCGGCCAGATCGTGAGGACGTTGTGTGCATACACGGACAACGTGCGCTTAAGCGACGCTCGTTTCTTTTTTTCTTTTTTTTTTCCCTCTTTTTTTTTTCTTTCTTTGCACTTAAGTTCACACAGTTGCATCGAGTCCGACCGAGTGCGAGGGTTGCTATGGTAACAGCTGCGGCGACTCCAACAAAACGGGGTAGTACCCCCGTTTTGTTGGAGCCGACGCAGGCGTTACCATAGCAACCCTCGCATTCGGTCGGACTCGAACGCAAGTGTGTGAATCGGCCTTAACACCTCACCGTCAGTACGCTCAAGCTACAGAAGAAACACGCGCGCTCCGGGCTTTGTATTAAACATCTTGGAAAACGCTCAAAACGCACGTGATGTTATAGAGACCATTCCAATGATCGCCTCCTGCAAGCTGCCACGGTTCGTTTACTGGGCGTTCTGAGAATTGCGTCCTGAGAATGCGCCAGTAGCACTTGTATGTGAAATATCGTGCTCCGTGCACGCGCCCTCAGCCCAGTGACTGCGCATATTTTGCCCGGGTGACGAGCGACGAAGAGGCGTATGCAAGCGTTCGGTATCCAACGGCAACAGCGAGTTTTTTTGTTTTTTTTTTTCAATCAGGCATTGGCGTGCGTCACGGACCATTCCACAGATTACTCTTATAAGTCTTATCTTTGTGTATATATCTAACCGTCTACGTTTTAAGCTGCAGAAGGCACAATCAGAAACACGGATCTGTGAACACAGCTCGAGTTTGTGATAGTCTCTTCTGCTTCGACTCACCAATGTTTTAATTACCATCTGTGTCAATTCAGCTCGACTGCCGTTTTGCTTTTACTTCGTATCTAACCGGACTAGCGTTTTATTCTTTGGAAACACCTAAGAGTATCCTCACAATGAGACGTGAGCGCCTCGAAGATGGCAAAAAAAAAAAAAAAAGAACAGCATAATCGCCTCCCCCCCCCCTATGCAATCTTCTCCTCACCTAGCTAATTTTGTTAGTGACAGGTTCCAGTTTCTTTCCAGAAATGTATGCTTCCGAGGTATTGTATATATATTGTAACGAATTACTCAAGGAGCAATACTGTACTTCTAGTTCGCTCCTCGTCCTACGGATAAAATGAAGGTGAGGCATCTAGCAGGGTTTTTCGGAGATTATTTTGAGAGCATATTGCTTACCACGCCATAAAACTAGCACTGATAGAAGACATAAGATACTTTGCAAACAAATCGATAAACTAATCTCGCAGTTTCACGCTGACAAGGCCGGCGCTACATTTAATTCGTCGATATTTAAAGCAAAATGCCGAAAATTAAGTGGGAGAAAAGGTGAATTAAGTAACGCATCTCAACGATTATTATAAGGTCTCCTTTGTGAATAACCAACTATTTTATAGGTTACGAATTGCAGTCAGTTTGAGAAAAAAAAGTGCTGGCCATTGTTTGATAGGTGATGTTACATATCGAATGATAAACTTCACTCCCTGCACTTCATTCAGCTCTACAGAGTGACAGCGCCTCATCGACGCGCTTAGAGGATTACAATCGCTGAGGGAACGTCTGAACCCCTTAGAAGTCAATTTTAGAACCATTAGACCCCCCCCCCCCCCTCCTTCGTATTCAGGCTCTTTCGTGGCGTACTTTGCGTGAACTAAACCAGACAGGAACGCTATCTCACGCTAATTGATCCCTCTGCCATATTCGTACGGGATCCTATTATCAGTTGCGCCATCAACGGGGTCAACTTCTATAATGGAGACACGTCGTTCTCTTTGTCAGGGTATGTGTCTCTTCCGCGACGGTGCAGGCGTTGAAAGGTAGACGCGGCCAGCTTAAGATGCGTTTGGTGCTAAAATCTCAGGCAACGAACACTGGCGTTATCGAGCCTACTTCAGTCATTTCCAACAGTTTTTGCGCCATGAAAAGATAAAATATTTGAAATAAGTCGCGAATATTTCAGCCTTTAATTTCAGCCCTGGAATCTTAACTCTGGGGGTCTGAGGAGGCAAATGGAAAAATATTCGCAGACATATACGCAGGTAAGCACTAATATGAATTAGAAATACCTTTCGGTAAGACAATGGAACAATAAAACAATACAAACGTGTTCGCAAGCACGTGCAGATATGCCTAAGAAACGCTGAGGCTTAAGCGCTCATAGCAAAGAGCGTTTAAACCTCGGTTCAAAGGCCTTTTGTTATGGCTCAGAATGATTACAAACAAACGACGAGATGGTAGTAATAAAAGCGTAAAGCATAGAACGACGTAGACAGCCATCGACAAGGTTGGCTCCTGTATCACGCTTTCATTTCCTACCGACTGACATGATCATTCTGAAGGAAGGCAAGAAAAGGCGGTATCTACGACAACTCCACATTTTAATGACAAAGTCACAACCGGGACACGAGCTTAGCACGTTCTTGGTTTTGTGGTGGCAGGGGTCTACACTTACATTGCAGGTTTCTCTTGTACCTATAGCGCTTCATGGTTGTGTCACTCCTATTATATTCAATGTTTGGGATAATAGTATTAATAAGTAAAAATACCTTAGAGAAACTATTTTCAGCGTTCATGGCAATCTCATGTAATATACGGGGTGTTTTTTTTTTTTGTTTTTTTTGGCTTAACACAGGGTGTAAGAAAAAAGTTTAAAAAAAAACGCGAAACTAATGCATTTTGTTCGTGTGAGTTACACAGCCAGAGGGACAGAAATTTGGGGGCAATTGTAACAATAAGTAGTCTCATTAACTAAAATATTTTATGTTAACTCTTAATTTGTGAAAATAGATATACGGTTCTATTTAAAAACTTGCTGGGCGGCATCGAAACTCACTAAGTCGATTTCAGAGAGTCTTGGAGCCCTTGGGAAGCACGGTGGAACTCTAAATTCACCACTCGGGGCGGCAGCAGCAGGGCTACCTGTGAAATAACGCACACGCGCTGTTTTCCTTTCTTATCATCCGCGTTTTCTCCCCGCCAGCATTCAGTCTGTTCCACAAGTGATAACTTTGCGCTTCCCACGCGCTCAAAATCTTTCTAGAAGTTACTGATTTAGTGGCTTTTGATGACGCTCAACAAGTTTGTAATTGAAACTGTATCTTTATTTTCACCAATTAAAACGTTAAAAACTAAGTTGTTAGTTAATTATTCAGCTTATCATGACGATTAGCCCCCTAGATTATGTCCCCCTGGTCATATACCTTCGCTGCACATACCGCCATAGTGTAGTTCTCACGGCAATTAAAAAAAAAATTATGTAACTCTTAAAAGAAAACAAAACAAAACAAAAAACACATCCTGTATAGTTTTGTTGAGCCATCCGTTACAAACCTGTATCCTTACGAAATATCTGTGATGCATGTACGTCCAGTGCGGATAAAAAAAAAAAAAGGTCCCTGTAAACGTTTCTGAAGAACCTTGTAGCCCCCTGGTTTTGTTTTTACTTATTCACTATTTATTTTTATTAATAACTTTATGAAAGGTTGACTTTACGATCCTTTGGCATAAAACTAACAAAGGTATCGTCGCGTCTTAACTTCTCACTCCTTCTGTGGCGGGATTCATTCAAAGCGGGGCACAACACATGCAGCACGGCCAAGTTTGTATATGTCAGCAAAATGCTTTTGTCTTTCACGGTTTCTAGCCTCGAGTTGTTCCCGTGCACGTGAACTCTACGCACTCGTCAAAAAAAAAAAAAGAAAAAAAAAAAAAAAGAGAAGAAGACGTGTTTTATACTAAACATACGTTTTCCCAATTTTTATTTACTAGTCTCTAGAAGCCCGATTCAGCCAAACACAACAATAAACAACAATAAATAAGTACCGTAAAAAGAACACTGCAGGCGCACCGATGCGAGGGATAGCACACAATCTGAGCCAAGCGGGCATTAAATGGACTATAAACACGAAATGGCGGCTATTTTATCTAATGCACGCGTGCCATCTCAACTCTTAGAACCTCACAGAGAGGGAGCCGCCAAATTTAAGTCCCCCACAGTAAAAACAAAACAAAAAGAAAACGAGAACCCTCTGGTGGACGCACTGTTAGAAATAAGAAGACGCCATTCGCTCGCTCACTTTTGGAATACGGATCGCAAATATGTCAGACAGCAGATATGGAGGAAGCGAGTACGCACTAAAATGTATCGAAATATTGATCAAAGACAAGTTC